GCCATCGTACGAGCATGGGGGGGGGGTCGTAAAAGCTCGACCAAAATCCCCATCGAATGCTGTGCCCTGATTGTGACATTGTTGTGTTCACTTTCATACGAGCAAGGCGAATGGGGCTGAATGATGGACTAAAGGAATGAGTGTAGCAGTAAAAGGTCTTTGGAAATCATGAACAATGCTTTTGGTAACTTGGTAAGAAGAGAGGTCAATGTTGGACTGGTTTGGTTTCAATTGAGAACGTGTCTTAATGGCTGCCTCCCCTCAGTCGTCATGGCTTTACAACCCGGACACACCATCACCTAGAGGAAAATTTTTGCTAAATACGATAATCTTGAGATTTTCTCCCTCGGTACAACTTCCTCTCCCAATACTTTCCCTCTCACCAACTTTTTCCCAAAAATTTGCAGTCGAACAGTCGAGAGGGGGAGGGGAAGGGTGGACACCTCCGACCGACTAGCATATTGGTAGTCTCGCTGCGCTGCTAACTAGGGATATGAAGGAAAAAAGAATTGCGACTCTCCCATCCTGCCAAACAGTACACGGCCACTGTCAGGCTCAGAACTCAGTACGTGAAGCCTAGTCCATCTGAGGGAATACGCCGAGTAAGTTGCTTGAAACATTCGCCTTGAAAACGATATAGCACTGATTTTACTGAAAAAACTCACTCTTCCCGAATCTTGGGTCCATACAAGAGACCACACTATCACAGATTTATCGCGTCCTTGAAATTGGTCGACTGAGTTGACCTGGACATACACACCTCAGAAAAGATGAGTAAGAAGACTTTTCGTATGTCTTCAAGCCTGTTCAAGATTGGATGGCTTTATGTGTCGTTTGCCCCTTTGGCAAGCAGGGTGATTGCATGAAGTCTGCAGTCATCTACTTGATACACTGCCAAAGCTGTGGCAGTGAGTATATAGGGGAAACAGGACGTCCTCTCCGTGTGCGGGTCAAAGAACATCTGGAGGGACTTAGTAGGTCGCGAGCCTATACCCCGCTTGGAGCCCATCGGGTTCAACATCATGAAGGCACGACATTCGACGTGTCGGTGACCATATTAGCGCAGGAGGCCGAGATCACAGCGCGTAAGACATTGGAGGCATTCTGGATTACGGCAAAGGACCCTCAGATGAATAGAAAGGGAGAGTGTGTGGCCATAACGCGTGAGCTGGCACCCTTCCTCGACCTTTGCAAGTTTTGATCTACCGTGAGGTCGAGGAGGGTGAATAGTACTGGTTACTTCTCGATTAAGTGTTCCTCAGGGTGGTCGACCCCGCATAGCGGCGGCTGATCAGGTGAGCCATAATACTATTGATTGATATCGTTGGGTGCTTTACTAGTCTAGGGAAATTGTCTTGAGGATTGTTTAGGCGCTTGAGCGGGCAAGTTACATCTGTTTTTTGTCCATTTCAGGCTCAGACGAAGGCGAAGACGCCGAAACGTAGGCCTAGTAATAAAGCCATCCAATCTTGTACAGGCTTGAAGACATACGAAAAGGATATCTAGCATGCCAAGATTGCAAGAAAGTCGTAGTTGGAGTAAGAAGACTGAAAAAGATTCTTCTTCACCTCGATATCCATTTCATTGCCCAGAGCGGTCTTGATCACTTCAACCTGCTTGCGGTAAACGCACATTACGCCAATGGCGCTGGCGCGGACGCCATTCTAAATAACATTTCATGAAACTCTGCAGTGGAGCAGTTATATGAAGGTTCAGCTGTATACTGAATAATTCAATGTAAGCGTAAAAACTAACTACAATAGACCACCTCAAGAAACCGTAATACAATATCGCGGACTAGACGGGCTTCACCATTGTTGTGTATCAATCCAGTGTCCGAGCACACGGCAGCAAACTCTGAGGTTGTTCCAGCACATGTATCCACAAAAACGAGAGCGTCATGTAGTTGTCCACTTTCAATGATCTTCCACGGCCCTGAGATAACACTACCTGGGATCACAGTTCCAAAGATATCCAATCTATGCAAAGAACTACTCTCAAATTTGACGCAAAGCAATCGGAGAATAGGATTAATAGGAAGGATGTGCATGTATCTCAATTTTCAAACTATTTTCTGGAATCACCTGAAAATGGGCCACACTTGCTCGTAACGCCACGTTCATACCCCTGCCAAACTCAAGAGGTGGAGAACTGAAGAATCGACGATTTGGAGAAGCGAAGAATGCGCAAAAAGGAAAGGAAACTTATTGATCTGGATCAAAGAAAGGGTGTATCGCCAGTTCTCCGATTCTTCCAGTTCGCCTATTATCTATTTTCGCAAGGTACGAACAGGGTGCAAGAGCACAGTTGATAAACACGGATTCAGATTCGAACCCCGCAACTTGCATACTGTCGATAGTAGCGTTCAATAACGAACCTATTGTCGCTAAGTGGCATCACAGGGAGGGGAACAATTTTGGAGAAGACTCTTAGTAATGACCCCTGGCTGCCTCATCGTACAAAATCTTCGGAATTTGCTGGGTTTATGGCAGCGAAGCGATAGCCTACCGCTTTCGCCCATTAATCGTTTGTTCGCGTCATCCAGTGTCTAACACCATGTAACAGTGGAAAAAAACCTTGAGCCGTGTGAAAATGAATCGTAACAAAAAGTTGTCTTCAGAGTTTTGGTGAGCGGGGCAATTAAGACGCGACTTTATGATGAATGGGGCGCCTTTCCATTACCAATGTGAAGCCGCGAATAAACAGCTCCTTGCGAGGATGCGGTGGCCAGATTACTTGACATAAGGATGAGTGCGCTACGAAACGACTGGAGGCGCCGGACGTACTATCTTGAGTAGATCGAACTATCACAAGCCAGGACAACTGACTTCTAGAGTGCATACTGTAGATCTTGTGTTCGCCGTGGATGCTGGGACCTGTCAGGTGCAAGCTGAGCTTGCCGCGGCGCCACCGCGTTTCCACCGAAAGTTGTCGATTCCCCTCTTCAACAACTGCTGGAGAACGGATAGGTGGCCATTCAATAGGGAGGCGCTGCTAGATCGCCGCGATGGTAAGCGTAGCCGGCTACACCGCAGCCGTCGGTATGAGGGTGTGTGGTGATTCTATCGTCGGGTCGTCGCGCCGGTGGGCGGAGCGAGGCGGCGTGGCGGCCGCCGCGTACGAGTTTTGTTGCGTGGCGTTCAAATTGTTGAAGGGTCGACGATCCCTTTAAGCAATTCGAAAAAGGCGCAGCTTGCTGTGGCCGTTGCTCCAATGACAACTCGGGAGTACGGTAATGCAACTCCGGGATTGCCGCGTCGCGGCGTGTGCGGCGTCGCCTGACTTGCCGACGATAGAATCGCCCGGGTGCCGCGTACGAGTTGTGTTGCATTATGCTCGTTCGTCTGAAGCTGATGCGAAACTCGCCGCGCGACGTGCTACTCGCAATAGAATCGTTTCCTCTCCCGTGAAAGATTAGGCTGGCTTCGCGTCAAACCTAGCCCCCGTGACATAGCCCGGCATCCGCAGCTAACAAGACTATACATTCTGCGGCTGCGGACATTTCCGCCTCACAAAGGAAAGAATCCCACTATCTCTCGGGAATTTGTACAATGTGCGTTTGAGATGGGATTCTTGAATTTTACAGAACGGGCTAACATATGCTTGTAGGGTAATCATAACATACCATCACCACTCGAAGACGACTTGTAGCCTGCCAAATTTGCAAGGCATGCTCGAGCGACATCCTCATTGGCACATCTCAAGCGATTCTCGTAGAACAGACTGCTACTAAGCTTTGCGATCGTGCTGTATTACAAAAATAGTACTTCCATCAAACAGTTTCCTCAAAAATGAGCGTAAAAACAACCTGTTCATTCTATATTGCGCTTCAAGAGAATGCATAGCCGTTTTGTGTACTTGAAGACGTTCGAACAACGAGACAGACATTCCTTCCTCCCTAAATGGTTTTCTGTTCGATATGCACATGAAGAAATGTTCACAGTAGTTCAATTGTCAAAGAATTCAATGAAAGGTAGGGAAAACAATTTCGAAGATACTGACGAGCACTTTCTATTCTGAACAAGAGGTGACAGTTGGTGAGCATCTCCGACAAGAACAAAACGACTGGCCGCAGCTATAGCAGATATGACAACCGGCTCCAGCACCTACAAAAGAGCTTTCTTGAGTATGCTCAGGAATAATATGGTAGTTTACTGTGATACCTCCAGAGAAGAATTACACAGAAAAGTGCAGTTTAGAAAGAAGGCATGAACTTTCCGAAGAAATTAGTAATATTATGCTGCGGAGGTGAAGTTAGAGAATCATGAAGGGTGGGCAACTGCCCTTCGCTAGCTCCTTTGCTAGCTCATGAAAATTAAAAGGTTTAAATTTGGAGCAAAACTTGTGAACACTTGTGAGTCTGCAATATTAGTGGACCACTTTGCTTACAGGAACTTACGAGACCTCACGAAGTGGCATGCCCAGGCTTCGCCGTGTACCATTCGGTACCCCCACTATGCCGCATTGCTCATTGCTCCCACAAAACCCTTTGCAGACGTCAAGAGGGAAGTTGAAGTTCACCTGAATGGCGGTGAAAGAGCTAAATTTTAAGGGCTGGAAAACATCGGTCGAAAGTTCAGTACGACATACGCGAGATGAATCTCCTCTATGTGCGAGGTAAGCAAGTCCGTAACTGCTGTATCACTTCTGCCACTTGGAAGTGCAAGGAAATGAAGCTAAAGTGCTCTGATAGCTGAATGTCCTTAATGACACCGCCTGCCGTTCCATACCCTTTACGAAGCAGGTCTTAACACTAATACTACTTAGGCCAGCTGTATCCGAATTAGTCCTTATCTGGCGTCCCTTGCTCGCTTCTAGGCTGAGGACAATTTGCCCTCTGCGACATCGCTTTAGCAAACGTGTCCCTCTGTTCGCTCTGCCAATCTTTCAAAGGACCTGGACGACCACTTTTCGCCCAGATCCTGCAAACACTGTTACCAATATGCTTCGCGAACAGAATATCCCGCTCTCATAATATCTCAGCTTTTCTATATTTAAGTTGCATATTCTACCAGACAGGAAGGTGGTGTTTTTTTTTTCCTACAGGTGAGCGGCCTGTCCAGCCTGATAATAATGCGGATCCTCCTTTGCATGTTACGTGAAGTGAACGATCCCGCCGTATGATGCATCCCCTTTTGAGATGCGCCATTCCTCTACTTCCATTCCATAATCATATAAAGCTTATTGAGTCCGGCGTGGCTATTACAACGACTCGCGGGCCGCCATGTATCGACCAAACCTCGTTCACGACATCTACTGTCTAGCTGGGAAGGATGGGTGGCCTAGGTGTCGAAACAACCCTGAATTTACTCTAACCGCTCGCGTGGTAAGGCTGCGTTTGTACCTTGCGGCAGCGTAGCGTAGCGAAGCGCTTCCAGCGTTTCACTAGCGTTTCGCTAGCGTTTGCAGCGGCGGGCTAGAGAGTATTACGAAGAAGTTAGGAGCAGTACAGAATACTCTTCCTTACGCTAAAGAGATAGCAAGAATATAGAGAAGACCCCAAAATACTCTCCTACGCTAGAGAGTATAGAAGAGTAGAAGAGTACAAAATGCTCTCCTTCGCTAAAGAGTATCGAAGAGTAGGAGAGTATTTATCGGTTACTTCTCCCTACTCTTCTACACTCTCTAGCCCTGCCGCTGCAAGCGCTAGCGAAACGCTAGTGAAACGCTCGTGAAACGCTGGTAGCGCTAGATCGATACCTATACATCCCGTGCCCTCGCTACGCTGGCGTAGCTACCTAGCGTTACGCCGCCACCCAGTGTAACCGCTAGCGTCTACGCTTGGCAGGCGCTGGAAACGCCTTAGATCGCATACCTTATCCTTTCCCGGGAGACTGCCGCTGTGTCACGCCTATAATCGACTATTGCTACGCTGTCGCAAAGTTATAAACTCCAGCCTAAGCCGCGCTCACAAGTTCTTGGTTTGGTGAGGAGTATACGAATGAAGTCCATAAAGGCGTAACCCTAACCCACACACTTACCATTGACGCCTCATCTATAATACAATAGTCAAACTTCCTCCATGAAAACAGCACATCTCGAGGCACATAGTGGCAAGTGCTGGCGACAAGTGGCTGAACAATGAACTCATGAATTAGAAAGCAGTAGGATTGTAATTCTTTCTACACAGAGCAAAGGTGTTGTTAGAATGCAAAGAACATAGAGATCTTACCGTTTCCCTCAAGATTTTTCTAGCGGTTTTATACTTGTCTCCGTCAAAACAACTTAGTTTTGACTCCAGCGTAAGATCTGCGACACTTTCACGAACTGATGCTGAGTTGCCAAGTCGGAGTATTTTCGAGCCATCAGTATACTAAATATTTTTGCCACATTCAACCAAGGAAAAAATAACTAAGTACTGAGACAATAACCTTTTTCAACTTGGCCAGGACATTATCCAAGGCGGAATGGGTATTTGCAGTCAGCAGAACTGAGCGATTCATTTCCAGTAGGCAGCGTAACACAGGCTACAATGGTAGTGGTCTTCCCTGAAAACTAAAAACGTTCTTAAGTCGCATTTGCGTCATCTGGCAATGAAGATTACAGATTTCTCAAATTCAGGACTTCAAGAGTTCAGATTCGAAAGAAATCAAAATCGATCTTGCTAACCTGATCCCGGAAACCCTTCTATCAGAGTGTAGTCGTTAGATAGAATAGCCGCGTGCACGGCATTCCGTTGCTCAATACTGAATTTCGTTGGATTTGACGCTGTTGGAAAGCAACTGTTGAACAGAAGCAGGAAGTGTAGCGACATCAGGAGACAGGACCGATGGAGGAGCGAGATCAATGATCAGCTCTCGCCGGCGGGTGCTAAATTGAACAGCAACTTTCACTAATGACATTTTAGGACATAACAACTGAGGAGCTGGATTTTCTGTAGTATAAAAACTCCAAAACCAATGCCTCTCAGCTTCAACGATTATGGGACTTGTTACTGCCGCTACGAAGCCCATTTCAAGGATACGCTGCACACCCACCCTCCGAGGTTCCTGGTCCCTGCCATGAGTGAGGTGAGTGGGTTCGAAGCTGTAGAGTTGTGCTTTCTTTGCCATTCAAAAGTGCGCAGAAATGAGGTTGGAGGATAGTAGTGGCTGGATACCATTTGGGGATCCACTCGTAAAGACCGGTCTCGCTTCTTCTCTGCGCCTTTTAATTGGCTACAGGGCTGCTGCTCCCCACTCCAACAGAAGAAACAAAAATTTTTGGCCATGACCGACAATTTTCCGTTCCTTTTGTTCGCTGCGAGACCTAGGCAACGACGCACAGGCTGCACGTTGCGGACGTGGTTGGAGAACCAAACGATCCTGTATTTCACCACGCTTCAGCGTTATTTCTGCACCCTTTCGAATAACAAGAATGGTATACTTCCAGAGCAGCGTACCCGCTCGCCTTCCACATGGCACGGACCTACCTCGCAGGTAGCCCTACAGTTTGTCTTTGAGGCCACATCTTGGAAGCCACTGCAGACAATAGAACGAAAGATGTCAAAGTTAGGAAAAATTACAAGGATAAACATACCTCGCTTCGTCGTTCCCCATGAGAAGAACAAGATTGCCAAGAGTTGTGGGATAAGTCGAAAAACTGTTGTAGAGATCAAGGTGATAGGTCTCCTGAAGGTCAATCAGCCGGTCACTGCGGACCGTCACGTTCTTTGCTGGAAACATTGAAAGTTTTCAAGAAACAAGTTTGAATTGAGAAGACTAAGAAGTAGCTGAAACGAACAACTTACACGACGATTCCACTATGGGTACGAGGAGTATGCCTGGTTGCGCTGAAGTCGAAACAATACACATATTTCCAGGAGCGAAAACCGAATCGACTATATTTGAATTCCTGAACTAAGCATATGGTGATATGCCTCTAATTGTGAGAAGGTGAACAAACGAACCCTCCAAAAGTGAGAAGATAAGCGGAGTAACCGTCAGTCGAGACATCCACATGGCTGCACCTACACCGAAGATTTGATAAGCAACAAGTCTTCTGATTCTCGTGAATGAAACGCACAATGATTCCTCAACCGGAAGATTATGCACTCATTAAACGTGGCAATTCTCACAGGTTTCTGCCACAGGTCTTCCAAACAACTGCCCTTTCTGGCCTTATCCTCAGACCACTCGGAATAAATCCAAGTAATCCACTTTCTGAAGTACTCTGGAAGACAAACCTTAGTGACTTATCGATTATCTCAATTGATCGACACAATTCCGATACGCTCTATGATTGGCAGACCAGATGACTCTGTTTTGAATTTGGCAAAGTTAGATCAGATGAGACGACCTATCCTCGTTGGCTCTACTGCAACCTAAGATGATTTCAAGAATGTGAAAGATTTATAGAAATTTTGTTCCACTCTAATAAATGATCACGTTGTCTTTCCCACTAGTAATTAGTAAAGGCAGTGTGAAGAAGCCGAGTCTATGAGGTAACTAGCAGAATTTAAACATTGTGAAGTCGTGGTTCTGAGCTCTTCCCTCTACTGCAAGTCCACCGTTCGTGGGCTGGACGGTGGCATGTAATGAACAGGATGAGTGGGTGCTGTCTTTTTCGAGGATTCAACGCTAACTCCTCATTTTCGGACGGCGGTGTCCTTGCGCTAGCGCGTCCTGCGCGTCTCAGATCATAGTGACTTCAAGAGAATTGCTCCGGCATATATTGGTGCGGCACCGCCGACGCCCTGGCTAGTACGACTACAGCACGATACATTCAAATATACTGCAGAACGAGCGAAAAAGCACGTACGCTCTCTATATAGGGCAACCATTGCAAAAAAGGGACCAGGATCCTAACAGTTAAAGCCTCACAAAATCACAAAAAAACGGCGTATCACTGGATGTAAAACTTTTTCACTCAGCATGCCTCAGCGGTGTTATAGCAATCATATAACACCATGCGTGTACGTACTCTCTCCTCTCTCTACCGCTCGCTCTTCTCCTTTCATGACCGAACAGTAACAAATGTGATGCGTGCGAGAAAATCTTGCTAAAAAACCTTCAAGGAAGGAAAGCTCGACAACTTCTTCTCTGAAGTAAATCTCTTGCCACCATGTGATGAAATCTTAATAAGAAAAAGATAAAGCATTTCTCGTTGATCCAGTCGCTTTTGAGAATCGAGAATCTACTTCTATTCAGAAGGAATAAAGGAATGTTTTAGATGTTGTAATGATGCCCAAACAAAGACTTGCGGTTGAAGGGGAGGGGCAGCTGATGCGTAAGGCTGCGTTTATACTTTGCGGCAGCGTAGCGTAGCGCTTCCAGCGTTTCGCTAGCGTTTGCAGCGGCGGGGCTAGAGAGTATAGAAGAGTAGGAGAGTACAGAATGCTCTCCTACGCTAGAGAGTATCGAAGAGTAGGAGAGTATTTTGTACTCTCCTACTCTTCTACACTCTCTAGCCCTGCCGCTGCAAGCGCTAGCGAAACGCTAGTGAAACGCTGGGAGCGCTAGATCGATATCTATCCTTTCCCCGACACTGCCGCTGGCGTACGCTGGAAGCGCTACGCTGCCGCAAAGTATAAACGCAGCCTAAGTCAGTGTTCATCCTTTCGAACAAGTTCGGTACCAATTCAGCAGCCCCGAAAAGTGAAAAGCCTGGGCGCCACTGGGATTTGACCATCGGACCGTGAACGTGGTGAACGAGCTACTTGTCTATATCACCTCCTCTTATGCAATCATTATATTACTTTGAAATCTGCAGAAAGCTTCTCAGTGTATCTAGTAAGAACATATGAAATCGAAATACCTGATAGTATGAGCACACCAAAGCGTGGTCACACCTGTCGCAGAACTTTGGGTCATCTTTGGGCGCTGTAAATGTTGGGATTGATAACAATAGACGGGTCGAAATGTTTCGAATGAAGTTTTGCTGATTATACCGAGCACTACAAAGTTATTTGTAGCTAGTTAACGAGTAACTAACCAGGCAGCAGATCAGGCTTCAATTTCGAAAGGTAAGATGCCAAGCGATTTCGCTGACTAATAATGCCTTTCATTTCCAGGGCACGCGGTTTGACATTACGAGTTATTCCATCCTTCAGATATAACAGAGAACCCTCTACAATGGGCTGCTTGTAGCGTGACGAAAGCATGAGCGAATAAAGCATCACCTGTGATTGGCAAATTCCGAAACAGACAAAACAAACCTAGAAGTACAGAAAGGTAGAAGTTACCTGGGCAGAATGCTCAGAGGATTGCCCGCTCTTCCCAGTTTTCAAAAACAAACCTACAAGTACAGAAAGGTAGAAGTTACCTGGGCAGAATGCTCAGAGGATTGCCCGCTCTTCCCAGTTTTGA